GATTAGGCTAAACTCACACTAAGGAACACTTTGAATAGAGTACGTAGGCCTAGTGCCAGTTAGTCAATGTCTTTAATTAATTAATGTTAAGATAGTGAACTATTGGCCCTGGCCTGAAAATGTTCACTGTATTTTACAGTGTCACATTTCCGTGCTCCCAATAATTGAGCCACGCGGCCAGGGCCCAAAACCCTAATCCCTAGCTCAGTTCGGGATAGGCCCTCCTGAGCCGATCACACGCCCTCCTGGCCACTGCGCCCAAACGCAGGGGTCAGGCTACCGAACAGAGCGACGCCTGCCGCGCCTCAACACGACCACTGACCAAGTCCGCCCTTACACGGACCTCCAAATCGCCCTAGACGCGCGCTCAACGTGCCTTACTAGCACCCTAAGCTAATTGTCACGCCCTGGGGACTCCAACCGGCATACGGACTACATGCAACGTAGGCCGCCCGCCTGCGACCGCACTACCTGCCACCGGATCATCATCAGCCTCATGTTGCTGATGACGAGTACCCCATGCATCAGCGACCGCCAGCCGAGACGACCAGCTCTTGATTTTCTCCGTGCGAAAATCACCCGACCGCGAAAAAGACAAACCTTAGATGATAAGGTTAATGCGCGCCAACTGCGTAGCTGGGGCTAACCCAACCCACACTGAACGCAATAGATCATTCACATCCGATGTCATATCGTATACGACATCCAAGTTCTTGGCGCGTAGACCCTTTCCAGCATTGTAAACGCTGAAGACACTTGCCCCCGCCATGTCTTACCCGACACCGTCTGGGTCATGTGATGGAGAGCCGAACGTCGCTCGTCCATGCTAGCCTGACTGAATGGGGAGTGGTGGAACAACCAGTTCTCATACGCCAAGCGAAACATCATGGTTGTGCGCTGGGCTACTTCCGGGCATACCGGCTCAGAGTAGGTACGTAACTGCGTCCTATGCCGGATCAGCCACTTCGTACCAAACACGATAGTGTACATCACCGCGCTGTCCTTGGACAGAACCTTAGCCGGCCCATGCCATAGAGGCGAGGACTGTGATTGCCGTGCCTTTGCCTTAAACTTGACGAGGTCACCTTCAGCAAAGTCCTCCGCCTCTTCGCGCACTGCATTGCCACGCTTCAACTGCGCCGCCTGCACCGACTGAACCCGCATGTGCGCGTCATCATCAATGAGGACCGCTGCCGCAGTGTCCGACTGCTGCAAGAGCGCCCCAACCCGCTCACCTAGAGCAAATTCACGGTCCCCGTCATACTGACGGTTCTTCGCCATCGTATATGGCGCATGGTCCCTGGTCGACGTAGCCACTGCGTTGTACGCGTTACGGAACTGGTATGCTAACGGCATCCAGCCCCCCTGTATGTCCTCCTTGAGGGACTTAAGTATCCAATCCTTAGCCACGTTCACGGCTGCTTCCGCTGCGCCATTACCCTGGTGATAGTCCGTTGTGACCGGGTCCATCTCGCTGCCTTGGCTGCGGGCAAAGTCCCTAATTTGCTTGCAGTCCAGGACCTTGTCCTGGTCCACCGTGTACGTCTTTGGCTGACCCTACGGGTGGACGACCTCCTGCAGGAAACGCTTAACCTTTCTGCTGCTCTTAGATTTCAAAAACTTGAGCAAGACCATGCCTGTGTAAATTCGATGGATAAACTATGTTATATAAAGTAAGATACAATTTAAGTGAGTTAGGATTTAGCAGTGATAGCTTGTGTAAGAATGATCGGGACTGCCTCTTGGTAAGAGCCTTAATATCCTCGATCACACAGAACGTACCTCTAGCTGTTCTTTATTGAATAATTTTCACTAGAAGTACTAAGTGTTCATGACCACATGTCTAATTTGTAGATAGACATAAGAACGTAAGTCAAGTTAATATATTAGCTAATATAAATAAAGTTATATCTGAAGAAAAGTTAATAATAAAAAAGACTTCTTGAATTTTGGAGATTGGCGGGAAGACCAAACCCTATAAGTAGTAGTTCAGAGATTATAAAATTTAGTTTATAATATCCTATATCTACTATCGTCTCAAATAGGTCCAAGTAAATGAGTCATACCAAATACTCAGGCTATTGAAGCCATCACAGTGAATTTAGAACACTTTGGAAATATTGGAAAAAGAACTTGTATTAAATTATTTAAAATACAAATAAAAACCAATGTATTATCTCAATTGATCTTGATATTTTAGACTGACCGGAGGCCGTATTTCTACATAGCCCCCAGTAGCTTTTAGAACTACGAACGTACGTTAAGATACGATCTAGGTTGTAAAGCGAAAACCAAAGTAAAACGGTTTCGGTCATGACTTATCGAGTAAGTATGTGCCTATATGTACGAGTTCAAGACTCATGTTGTACTCTATGTCGTTTAGTATTTGGTCTAGTAACCATTTCCGATGTAGGCGCCTTACGTTTATTATTTGGTAAGGTAATAGCCAAAGGCTG